TTTCTCCACGTGGACAACCGGCTAAGAACTGTGAGATGACCGCCAAAGCTAGCTTGCTGCTTGAGGTCAAAAAGATTCTCAGACCAGGTTACATACTCCGTCCCTCGAAGAAAGCGAGCCAACATTTCAATGAGATCGTCTGGAGGTTTCGATACAGCTGTAACGTGCTCCTGGAAGCATAGTGCAGCGTACCTATACACCGATGAATCTGCGGTGGACGGCTGTCCGTCAGCGCCTTCGATGGTAATCCCCAATACGTGCCTTTTCAGCAAGTCCACAGCTGCTTGTGGGTTCCGATACTGGTCTTGACAGAGCACAGCTAGGCACTTCCGGGCAAGAAACAGATCCGACTGATCCGCCGTCAGATGTTGCTGCAGCAAAAAAAGATTGGCTGACTCATGAATGAATAGGATATGGTCGGAGGCTGATTTCTGGATAAAAGGGTGACATAGCTGCACAATCTCGGCAGCGGGCTCAAAGTCGACGCTCTCATAGTTGATGGTGCAAGTCAAATCGTCAACCGCCATGAAAAGCGAAATGGCCTCCGCTTTCTGATGTTGTTTAAACGCGAGGATAAGGCGGAGAATGTTGTCACGACGTTCCCGAGCTCTGGTGCTCATCTGATCTTTCCTTTCTGTGAACAGTCGCTCGTATTCGGCCTGGATCTTGCTGGCAAAGGACGACATTTTAGCTTTCAAGGTAGCGGTATTCGGCGAAGTTTTCAGATCCTCTAAATAAGGCGGTAAGCGAATGCGACAGGCGTAGCCTCCCCAGCGACTCCAGCCATTTTGAGAGAGTCTGGGCCCGGCAGAAAACAGTAGCTAATTAACAAGCCAAGTGCGTGAAGGGGTGTAAGGCCCAAATAGCTGCTTACCTGGAAGCTGATGCGTGTTCTCCTTAATCGGCTTCAACAACACCAATGAGTCCGTGGCCATTAAAACATTGCAAGATCATTTGGAGGTAGGCCAAAGATGGGCGTACGACGGTAATACTGGTGCTGCGCGGTACCTTCATGTGTTTGTGCTGTGGACTGCGTATCAGTGTTTTTTGTTTTGTTTTTTGTTTTTTTGCACACAATCAATGTGTCTAACCTTCAATGGCCGCCGTTCGCAGCTCTTTTCCGGATTGTCCGTTGCCCTAGCAACTTTTTGGAAAGCTTTTTCGAACAGATCAGCGAAGTCCACCACACGCTATCCACGAGTACTGGATCTATTTCGGTGTGCTCGTAAGGCCGCGATTATGGTAATGATGCTGGTGAGTAGGGCCTGAGGAGAGGATTGAGCGTGCCGTCGAGCGGAAAGGAGATCAGCTCCACGCCGGCATCGTCCGAGCTGGCTGAAGATGGTCGTTAAAGAGTCACTAATGTTCTGGGGGGGGGG